TATATATATATATATATATATATATATATATATATACTTCGTAAATCTTGCTATCGTACTAGTTACGCGTCGTATCAGTTTTTGCGGTTATCACGAGCAAACGTAATCGAGTAGTAGTAGTCGCCAGCCTCGTCCACTCGATCGCGAACAGATATCGTATTTTTAGTTTCTTCGAGTACGTTCGAAACAACGTACGCGCAACGTTACCACGTGTACAGGTTTTTTTGCGGTTCGGTATTGGAGAGATGCATCTGTGGTACGTGTAGCGTACGATGCACGATGCGGTGACATCGGTTCGATGCTCTCGCGAGAGAAATAACGATTCGTTCTTCGACGATATTTGATAGGCTTTTTTCCAATTCGAATTCCATTTCGAGAGAAATCGTGGTTTTTTTTTTTTTTTTTAAAGAGATCGTCGTTTCCACGCGAAAAGGTTCTTCCGGTTAGAAGAGTTAGTCTCACGAAACGCATCACGCAACAACGGCCTCCTCTATATAATTTCGATTTGTACGTAAAGACTTCCCCCGAAAGGAATTTGCAATTTCGTTCACGGTAACTTATTACGACCATTGTTTATTCGTCAATTAGTCACGGTAGGCGAGATATTCTCGAACAGGATTTTTATATCGTTTTTCCATAACCACGAGCTTTCCAAGGAAGATCGTGAGGAAGATGTTCATCGATAAGTCTCGCTCGATCGACGCGATTTATCATTTTCGTTTCCGTTCCGATTAGTGCGACAATGGTGCGTAAAGCAAGCAGGGGCACGCTCGAATACACGCGACGAAAGGAAATCAATCGTGATTTACGTACGTACCATTTCCTTCAACGTGGACAACGTTTCACGACGCGAGGATTCTCGTTAAGCGCACGCTAGGCCAAACGATGGCCACGATGCGACAGACAGGCCCGGTTCTGGTAAACTCGGCCGCTCTTCTCGATATCTCGACTCGATTTGTCCTTCTTCGTAGTAGAATTTCTAATCACGGAAACTATTCTCTCTCGTTACCTCTGCAATAAAAAGGTTCATGCATTTTCCATTAAAAGAATGGCGGCGCTTTACTTCTCCACGGCACACGCATCCGTTCCCTTTCTCTCTCTCTCTCTCTCTCTCTTTCTCTTCCCTTCTTCCACGCGTTTTATCAGCTCTTTCCTCGACGTTCTTAGCTCCAGCCAGAAGGCTGCCATCTCTCAACGTAGCGAGCCGGAAACGATAGGGTATTATATTTATTTCCATAGCAGTGGCATGCAGTTCGCCACTGTTGTTACGCAAACGCTTTCCTTCTAACGTTTCTAACGTTTTTCATTGTCAATTAGTGATTAATTGGACGTGAATCGAGCGAACCGGGCTCCGCAGCCCGGATAAACCGTAATTGCACGCCTGTCTTCCACGTAACCCTTCGTGCTTTTCCCCGTGCTTTATCACCGAGCCGAGATCGCTCCGTATATACATATTTATGTTGAGAACTTAGCGGATCCGCTTCCTTTAAACTAGTGACAGCCATCCACGGTAAAACTAGACCGATCCCATGTAAGAGGATGAGAACCGAGCAGCGGATGCCAGGAAATATTCTATTTTTACGCGTTACGGTTGATAAAAAGTTTCAAGGCTAACCTCTGTCAGGGTGGAAATATTGACCATCCTCGCAACGGATGAGTTTAAAACGAATTATTAATTTACGAGCCATAAATCATCTCTCTCGTTAATTGGGAAAATGCAATTTTTTTGCCCAACCTCACTTCGATTGTCTATTTCTTTACGATCTTTAAAAATCGAATCGCTTCCAAATCGAACTCACCCAAACTGTTTTACGATCCCACGTAAAGAAACAGCTGCACGTTGTGCTGCACGCACAACCTCCTCCTCCTCCTTTTTCTTTTTTTCTTTTTTCTCTCTTCTTTTCCTCTTCTTTTTTTTCTCTCTCTCGAAACGAAGGCAAAAATTCCTATTTCCACGAGGACCGCACAAATATCGAAACGCTGGTATCGAGAATAATTTTCACTGCTATCGCGTACAAGTTAGTTACGACTAGCGTTGTACTTACGCGCACGCGGTTCCGTTTCCCCGGAAGCGGAAAAAACAAACAGACCCGGCCGAAAACTCGTGCACACCCGTGATTTCGTGGTCGAAACTATGCAAAGTCCTACGCGCGACTTCCTCCTCGCTGCAACTCGAAGGGAATACGCGATTCGAAGAGCGAGCGAGGACGCGTGTTGCCGCGACGGAACGCTTGAAGCGACAGTACCAAGTTCCTTCGTGCCGTAAGAAGCACTGAATGGGTTTGCCAGCGACGAAACATAATCGCGTTTACAGGCACAGCTGTAGGTACACCACTCTTTTCCTTTCCTTTCCGTACGAGCCAGTGAAGTACCACCGAAGGATCCCCACTACGTGCACGCGTACAGCACGAGCGACGCACACCCACGCGACACCCGGTATACGTGGGCAGCCACGGTTGGCATCGAGGAGAAAAGGAGAAGCCAGATGCCCGCCAACTGTCAAATTTTCTTGCCGCTTCCACGGAACGCAACCATCCGCCCGTCCGTCCCACCCTTGCCCCCCCATCTTTCTCGCGTTTCCATTCCTCCACGCGTTCTTCTATTTAATCGTCGTTGATCGCGCGTGTAATTTATCATCGGTGTAATCGATGCTCGTGAAGCGTCATTCTCTCGAAGGTCGAGATCTCGATTCGATCCGTTACGAGCGTACGCGATGTCGAAAATAGTCCGCAATATCTCTTTCGCACGCTTAAGTAGCCGTAATCGCGATGACGTTCTCCATTCTGGAATACATCGTATCGTGGCGATTTCAAAAGCCAATGCACGAGTTAATAGCCACGGTTTCAAGCGATGATAATGAACTACTGGTTGGTAGTTGGAGCGACACTGGATTTACGGAGGGAAACGAGGATCAACGCCGAGTTGCCTCTCGGTTGCCTCGTTTCTCGATAGAGTCGTTTCGCGAACCGCAAATGTCGTTATATTACCGGTTACGTCCTAACTTCTTCGAAGTATCGACGAGTTGGATCGTTACGCGACAACCGTGTCAAATATACATCCAATGTGCGTTGGAAGAGAGGATAAATCTTGACTCCATTTCCCTCTCTCGTTCTTATTGCTATTTTATTCCGTTTACAATAGACAGACTCGACCAGTATTCGCGGCATCGCGCGAATAGACGTATACCTTCGTTTCTCCACCATGCTTTCCGCGAAACAGTCCCCCTCCCCTCGTACCATGCATCATTGTTCGACCTCTTCGACAATAGTCATTATCGGCGAGCATTATTGTTTCCTGGTTCGCAATCGTTCTTTTTTTTTTTTTATTATCATTGTTAACGGTGGATAGAAGCGGCGATTACCTGCTCGGCATGCGCCGCCGCGATAATAATGGCATTCTGGACAAGCCCAGGGATGACACAACCTGCCAACAATGAGTGCCACGTGTGCCGAGACTAAACAGAGGATAGATTCGTTTTAAAATGGGATACCAGTTGATCGCTTTCGATTACGATCGTTTCGTTACGACGCAACGCAAATTTAAATCGATGACTCGGAGGTCGTCCGGCGCGCGAGAGGTGGGCGCAGGTGGTAGGTGGTTGCAATAATATCTGTGTATATCCGTAATATCGCGAGCGCATCCTACGTCTAAAACTCACCTCGATAAGTCGCATTCGATTAATAAGTCTCCTCACTCGTTTAAGCATTAGTCATCTCGAACACGGCCGATTCCTGTCCGAGAATTATTTTGCGCGTCGATGCCAAGGTTATCCGGTTCTTCCAACGTAAAAAAAAAGAAATACTGCAACTATATAACTCGAGCGAAGATACGATCGGAGAAGATCGCTCGAAATTAATCGTCTCTTATAAATATAACGTAAAGGAACGTTGGAAATTCGATCGATTCGAAAATATCCCCTGTCGTATCCCCGAGTTTGACGATAGAGGATCGCAACTTTTGAGTGCGTGTAACTTTTTTGTAATAAGGCAAAGGTCATTTCCGGCCGAACGAAAAGCGGAAACGAAGCGCGTGCTCGTCTGTATCCGGTCGCTGCGCTTCCTTTCACAACACTAACTCGATAGTATCGAATCTACCGAATTAATCGGTACATCTTTGTTTATCCAAACAAAAAACTTCCATATTACTTTTAAAGTTAATTAACTCGTACTCGCGTAATTTATTTTTTCAACCTTTCTCCTCGCGTTCTTTTTTCTTATCTTGCGAAACACGAAGTACGAAAGGATAGATCTCTCTTTCTCTTCTTCTTGGATTTATAACGTGCAAGTATGACTTTCTCACGATCAAATTTCCTGTAATTTCCTTAACATTTAAATCTAGTAGTAGATATCCCTGTGTTGACGGGATCCAAGGATGAGGATAAAGCGACAGGGGATCCTCGCGTGTGTTTCGATTAGCCGGCAGATATCAAGCGATTCACGTGGGAAGATAGTCACGTGGGTGAATTTCTTCTTGAAAGGTCTTAGGTCAAACATTTCGTACGAGTCTTCGCCGCTAACACGATCAACGTGTAATTGCTCCTCTTATGCAACCATGGGGATACCTGTGTTGCGCAACGTTATTACTATGGTTGTTCAATCGAATATTTGTATCCAAGTTTTCCAATAAAAACATGTTTCTTCTTGTTTTTAATCGCTACTTGCATATTATTATTAGTTGAGATCATCGATAATATAGATATTATGAGTATTACGATAAAACGAAAATTTTTCCTGGTTATTATTAATAAGATTCGGCCTGGTTATTATTAAACGATTACAAAATATAACACGTTTTACATTGCATGAGTTTAATATAAGAGTTTAATACAAGAGTTGTTACGGTGATTAACGCTATTAGAAGGAATTATGATTGAAAGGTTTCGCATCGAGTCCCGTTAATGTGCAGGCGAGAGGAACGATACACGATGGAAATTTGTAACTAATTATTTAACGATATATCGATGCTACCGTGTGATATAAAGTGAAAGTGATTTTGCTCGCATGGATGGGAATATATGACAAATTAACGAGACTTCTCTACTGAACAAACGAACCTTTATCAACGTTGTTTCGATCTTCGATTAAAGTCACGCGATCGAGTCGATTTTATCTCTTATCAATTATATGTGGGAAAATCATTCTTACGAAGAATTTCCGATAACTGATTTTTCTTAAATTTGAACGCGTTTCTTACGAGATTTTGATCTCGCCTTCTTTCTTTCCGAGAATTCATTCCGAGTTCTCGATCAAAAAATTTCTGCCAAAATACGAATTGATACGTTTTCTTGGATTCACAGCTGCAAAATTGATGGTATACCTTCTCGAAAATCAATATAAGACAGCTAAAAAGTATTCCACCGGCCAGAACAGATAGAATAGGCGCAATTCCGCTCAAAGTAACACTATTGTATCCGGTATCGTAAAATTTCTTTTTCACGAAGTGCATGCTTTTTAACTTGTTCATTACTCCATTGTCTTTGTATCGTTGTATGCTGTGAAAATATTCACGAGAATCATATCAGGATTATGTATTAAAGCTAAATAAATTGATATTAAATTAAACTATATATATTTACAAGTAATTAACCAATCCAGTGTAGGGACTTCGTTTAGTCAAGATTAAAGCCAAACTATCGATCCCTGATGCTTTGATGTATACAGTTTTACAAGGTATTGTTGTCATAGCATTCATTATCGCTTTGGTCAAGTAGAATCCTACTTTTTCGTTACAAACCTAGAAAATCAGAAAAAATAAATTAAATTTGATTCTTTTTTTTTTTTGATATTTGTTAATTTCAATTCTACGAATATTCTGAAAATTCTACTGTTCTTCTTCTTCATACTATCACAAACCTGTACGAATCCATCCTGAGCCGTCAAAGGCAATTCGTGTTTCTCCTTTATTAATTTCTTCAGCTTTAAAGTTATGCTGCGATTGTTAGACTGAAATCGTATCTATTACACCATATGTTCGCTTATATTATTCGCTTCATATATAGATCAAACACACATGTCGCCTTACAGTTATAATCTCGTAATCAGCACTGTTTCTGAACGTGATTAATCCGTACGATCCATGATTGACGAATTCCTCCATGGTGGAGAAAGGTAAGCTAACCGTAGAAACTGTTAAGAAACTGGTTAACGAAGCGGAGTAAGCGGATAAAATGATCAATGACGACACGAAAATCGATAGGAAGCCCAATCTCATTGAGGTCTCGCTTGGAAATTCTGGAAAAGAAATTATGTTGCGCGGGAAAATATTTCTTGTCATAATTTTTTAATTACCTGACAATCCTTGTTGACAATAAATACCCCAAACATACATGTAATTATCCGTTAGAACGTTCATTTTGACACGACCCCTCGTTTTAATAACGGTTAAAAATATCGGAGCGGATACGATCAGACACACTATCACCATCCAAATGTCAATGTTGAACGTCTGAAAATTGAGAATTCATTATGACATCGAAAATTGGTTGACGCATCCTTCGATGTAAAAAAGGAAAGAAGTAAATACTCTTGGTCTAATAATTTCATAATTATACGCGTTAAAAACCACGAGGTGTAGTATACTGTTGAAAAAGAAAACCTTCAAGTAGGCGGACCAGTGTACAGATGAGCTGTCAGGTTTTTTAAAATATATTCTCTTGTGCGACATAATTAACGGCAAACTAAAGTCGACCGCGTCCAACCTGTGGCTGGTCATGCTGAATTCTGCGACGCCCATGTCGCTTTTGTTCGATACTAATTCACCTATAACACCTTCCCAAATCTTTTCCTCCTCGTTCCAACTACCGTACTCCGACATTATGCTGGTCACTTCGATCTTGAAATTCATCGATTTGCTCAATTCTTTGACCACTGCCCCCCAAAAAAGCGACAAAACACCATTCTTCATCTCGATGAACAAAGATTCCTTGAAAATATAAATTAATTGCAATTTTCACGGAAAATTGAAATTTTGTCATGACACTCACGTTGACGATCGATATTCGCATCGTTTGTCCGAATAAATTGTTTCTTCTTGCGTACAAAGTGCTTCTCGTCGTTACGTTCAATCCTTGTCCAGATTTCCATGTGGCCAAATCGAAAACTCTCGTTTTATTGTCGCGCAAAGCATACCATTCTCTCAAAATCGGATGATCGTAACAGAGGACCAACATCTCCGTGTTAAAGATCAGATTGAACGGATTTCCAATAGGATTTTGGCAAAAATTTCGCATAGAATTTTCTTGATAAGGTAGAAACATCACCAACCAGACGAAAAAAGAAATATCGATGTATCTGGTGATGGTCGAAAATTCAATCATATTCTCCTTCGTAGTAAGAATAACGACGCACAGTGGACGTGTTGTGTAATCTTGAAATTTTCTCTCGTGTAATAATTCGGAAAAGCTCGCGATCATGGTCAAGATGCCTTGTTGAGAAAAAGCTCGGGACCATATGTAAGCCAGAGACGTTTGATCGAACTCTGAAACGACAATTGTTCCCGCCTATGCTTTTCTCTACTCGAATAGACGATCGAGAAAGAAAGTACTTTAAACTTGAGAGATAGGTATTCGCCATATATTGATATCGCATTTTAAATTAATCAATCTAAATGTTATAATCAAGTCTATTTCGCTTTCACGCGTACAATTTTCGAGAAGAGTGAACAAAACTTACCGGTATGACTGTCTGAACGCACGATTATGATGCAAGTCGTTTCGTAATACTTGTGAACATCTTTAATTAAAAGTATATATTTGCGAGGATCGTTTACATCCATCGAGAACGATGGAACGGGCAAAAGGAATAAGAGTATAATAGCGTAACAAGTCACTAGTGCCATCTCACTTTTAATAATAACTCTTTCGTTATTTTCATCAATGCGTTTTTTTGGATTTTTGAAACTCGATAATATTCTTTTCCCTTTCAAACCTCGACCGCTCCTAATGCTAACTACAAAACTAAAATACAGAAAAACCGTAATTACAGGTTACATTGGGACTTATCAAAGGTACAGATCTAGAAATAAGGATAGTAATGACCACAGTATGCATCACCCGTGCAATCATACAGATTATATATAAATTGTTACAAAGATTAACATAGATAAGAACGTTTATTCGCACACGTGCACGTGTTTCTATTAGAACATGTACAATGTCGTGATTTAATGGATGTTTCTATAGATGTCATTTATAGATATCATACTTTTACATCGGTTGTATGTACAACTTATATCCACAATTTGAGAGTATGAAGAATGAATGTGACATTTCTTGATATTATAAATGTATTCATTATCGTGTCTTCAAGTTAGATGTTTGGTTAAAGACAAACTAAAGAGATGAAATAGCATTTTGCATCATTATATGATACATATATGATACATACATATATATAGTGAATTAAATCTTTATAAAAAGTTTTTATTTTCTTTGCATTTCTTTTGAAAATTTTTCGTTTAGAATCAATTGAGAATTTACCATGTTGGCTATTATTCAATTATTTGTGCGCAAACTTTTAATAACTTAAAATACAAGCCATTGTTTATGATCAATTCTTCCAGATATTTCATATGCAAAAAGTCATATTTAATACAAAGATAAAGAAATGAAATTAGAGAGATTTAGAATTAAGTTTCTTATAATATATCTCTATGAATAATATTACAAGTGCTAATACAACACCACCGAAAAAGATTATTATAATAGATGCAACACTATAAATTGCAACTGGCTCAAATTTACTTTCCTCCGCGAAAGTTTCTTCGTTCTTGAATCGATTCAATATTCCAGAGTTTAAAAGTTTCTGCAAACTTTATAATATATATTTTAATTATTATAATTTATGATTATTATTTAGAAGAAATATTTAAAGATCATCAATATATAACATCGATAAATACTAACTAGTAATTTATAATTGAAGTAAATTGACTGTCTTTTGAAAGGATCAGAGATAAGCTATCTATTGGGCCGATATCGATGCAATAAACTTCACATGGTATACGCCAACTCTGCGTTATTTTCTGTATTCTCTTAGTATAACCACTGTAATATCCTATCTTGGAATTATCACATATCTAAAAATAAAAAATTGAATTATTAAAAAAAAATTGAATTTAAAATGTCATCGACACATAAATAAAATATAATATACACACATACATATAAATAATATAATATATACATATAAATAATATAAACTTACGATTTGAAATCCGCTTTCTACATCGATTGGTAATTTATCTATTGGCAAGAGTTTGGACATCATATATTTTGATGCAGAATCTTTCGAATACTGAAAATGATAATAATATTTTTATATAATGCATTATCATTAAAGCGTATGCATTCTATTTTGTTCGTCGTTCATTTGGGAAATGTATTTTTTCACTTGTTACACATACTTCAATCGTTCATATTATATTGCATATATGACGTAATCATTCGACATGCAAGTAAAAGTGAAAGCATATCGTGCGAGAATTCTCCGTTATTGGACAAACTTACAATGAACATGTCGTAATCGGAGGAACCTTTTAGCATGATTAAGTTATACGAACTATCATCGATGAACTCTTCTATCGTATGAAACGGTACATTGCGAATACAAGCTGTCACAAAAGATATCATAGAGGCGGAATAAGCGGTAAATACCACTAGAGCAGTCATAAGTATGGTGAAGTATGCCAATTTTAACGATAAATTCCGTGGAAGTTCTGTGGAAAATATTCACACAAGTGTTTGATCTTTTTCCCGAAGAAAAATCAAAATTTAAAATGGATTTTTAATTAAAATTAATTAATCTAATTTTGACTCGCCTCCTGAAATTCCTTGCTGACAGAAAATGCCCCAAATTCGAATAAATTCATTGAATATCTCTTGAATCATATTATTCGATTCTATTTTAGATCTTATAAAGGCCAAAACAAATAAAGAAATTATCATCGTCACGATTAAAGATATCCAGAGCATGAAATTGTAAACCTGAAAATGGATATTTTCAGAATTTATAATACAATATAGACATATCTATCTGTGATTTCATACGTACCTTATAATAGGCGAACCATTTTACTGTGAACATCTCTGGTTGCTTTAAAAACAAACATCTTTTAGTTGTTATAATAGGAATCGTATAATCGACGAAATTAAGTCTAATATTGGTCATTGAGAAATCAGATATTCCAATATCTGCTTTTCCAGAAGCTACTAAAGAAAATGCTCCGCTCCAACGTTTCGTCGTCATGTTATAGCTTCCAAATTCACGTTTTTCGGCCACAATATTGAGAGTGAAATTTAAAGCATTCTCAAGTTCAGTGATCGCTAAACTAAAATATCCTCCCATTTTATTGTTTTTCATTGAGAATAGTAATGAATTCTGTAAATAAAAAATAAATAATGTTATTGAATTTCATTTTAATTATTATGCGTGAAATACCTTAACAATGACAGCTCGCAAAACCTTTCCTTTGAGATTGTTTCTTCTCTCGTACAAACTTAAATTAGTCAACAAATCAATTGCCGCTGGAAACCCTATTTGTTGCTTCTCTGGATACCATTTGACTATGTCCAATATTTCAGTTTTGTTCTCATCAATTGAATACCACTCACGAAGAATAGGATCATCTTCACACATCACTAACATTTGAGTGTCGTATAATAAATTAAATATATTTCCTGGTGGCTCGTAACAATATTTTTTTATATCTTTTATATTAGGTATGAATATGATAAACCATGAGAATGAAGACATTTTTAAGGACTTTGAAATTTTTGAAAATTCAAATAATATGTGAGGTCCAGCGATAATAACAATAACCAATGATCGAAGATGATTATTTTTCAGTGTATGAATGTTTTTAAATGAAGTAGTTAAAGTTGCAATTTGTTCACGCTGGAGAAGACGAGACCACATGTATGACAAGTGTTTTATTTTGAAATCTAAACAATATAAAAATATGCAAATATATATTCCTTTTATTATAAATATGTGATCAAGTATATTATAAATAAATTTTAAAAAATCGTACTGTCGAAATGTTTGTCCTCTTTGAATGAAGATAAAAAAAAAATAGAAGAAGTTGAATAATAACTACGAATCCATTTTATTAAAGGAACGTACAATGCACCAGAAATCTCAGCTCTAGTTAAATAAAAAGAAACAAGAAGAAAATTCAAATACAATGTAAGTTTCATTTCTTTAAAATTTATTCCCTCTTTCCTTCTTTCTAGAAGAATGCTGTACGATTTATGGAATAGCACGCAAAAGACTATAAGAATCGTTAATAACTAAATTCTTATAAGTGGGAACAAGTACTTTTATTCAAGGCCAAATATTAAATATTCAACAAATGAAAAGTGCAATTTTTTAATATATGACTATGTTAAATGTGATACTAATCTATTACAAAATAGGTCATAATAACATGACATGACAAGAAGAATACTAACAAAGGAAAAGCGTTTCGTTTAATTATGTTAATTAAATAATTAAGAATCTATACAATATTTTTAAAAAATTTAATCAATAATATTAAAGTTTATAAAAACTTATAAAAATATTAATCAAATATTTACAAGAAAAGATGATTGATTTTTATATATAAATTAAGTAATTCTATATATACTTATATCTTATCTATGTTTTATCTATCTATATACAATACATAAAATTCATTTTAAATTGTTATTAAATAAATAATATATAGATCCATATTCCATTAGAAAATTACTTTTTTCTCATAAATGATTATTAATAGAAAAAAAAAAACATGTTTATACATTTATATGCATATTTTTATATTTACATAATAATTACAAATATAAATTTTTGAAATACATAACAACTGCTTTATATAATATATTTTTCTTGATATATAAAAACAATATAATGTAAAAAATTAAATAAGTGAAAAATAGTTTACAAAATCATATAAAAATGTATATATATTATATATTGTTATATTTAATTTTATATAATATTATTTAAAAAATAAATTTGAAATTTTATTTAAATTATTATTTTTAATAATATTATAAATAGAATAATTTTACAAATAATAGAAAATAAATTTTACTTTATTACTCTTAGAATAGAATGATTTCACAATTATTTACTGTAATTGTATATCATTATAAAATGTCACACATATTACTATTATAAGTTTTATAAATTTTAAATAAGAATATTAAGAAATATCAAAAAATAATTATTTAATGTAATGACGAAGAAATGATGATTTAAAATTTCACATAGTGAATCATCATTTCTACGCATGTCACATGACTGTCAAATTTCGCATCTCATTCAAAAATGGCGCCCTTCAATTTTCAACAAGAATTCATTACTAATTAATATAAAAAGCTTAAAAAAAACATAATATTACTTTTATCTAACATTATATAATCAATATAAAGAATAAACATAATTATTTAATTACACCAATAAAATATAATTATAAAAACATCGATAAAATACTACGAGTTACCGGAAACGCCATTTTGTGAAATCGATCGAATTACGCAGCATAAGTTTGACAGACATATATGTGTATTATTACATATATAAGCTTCATAATAGAATCATCTAGTCATAAAACAACAGAACTTGACAAGAAACTTGTGTTTCGTGAAAAGTGATAAAACTGATTTTTTGTGGAATTACAATAACATTTTATTTTGCAATTATATAATTTTAAAAATATATATAATAAATGCAATGAAAATGTTTAAAGCATATTTGCAAAATAGTGATTTTTCCATCAAAGAAATTCGAAAATTTAATTTATATCCTTCTAATCTTTCGGATAAATTCGAAGTGCTTTGTAATAAAATCAAAGAGTTATTTCCTGAACTAAATCATAAAAGTTTTACTATTTCTTGGAAAGGTAATTATTATATATATAAAGATAATTTTTTTATTTTTCTTCAAAATTCAAAAGTAAAACTATTCGGTTCAATTATTTTAATTCTCATATTATTTTAAATAATATTTTAAATATTATTTTAAATGTTGTCATTAATCTGGCATAGTCAACAAATAATCAATATTAATAAATGCTAAAACAATAAACAATAGATTTAATAAATAACTTAAATTAATATATATATATATATATTTTAGATAATGATGGTGATCAAATTGTAATGTCATCTGAGGATGAATTAAAAATTGCTTTTAATGAAATCAGAAACAAAGAAACAGAAACAAAATATCTTGCAATATATATCAAACCGACTATTCAAAAGGAACAAAGATCAATAACCAATCCATATCAAAATGATTTAAATGAAAAAGTAATTCATTTTGGCATAGCTTGTGATGGTTGTGATAATGATATAATTGGATTTAGATACAAATGTATCCAATGTGAAGATTATGATTTATGTGCGCAATGTGAAGCAGCAGGTGTACATCCTTATCATTGTATGATTCGTATGCCACAACCATTAAAATGGCATCATAGTCGAAGTTTACACCATCATTTAAGAAAAATTTTCAAAAAGAATGGTGTACATTTCAATAAGAAAACTTCTTCAAATGAAAATAAAGAATCCCAAGGAATTCATTGTAATATTTATCCTTGGTTCGAAACTTATGCACCATATTTAAATAATTTTATTGATGCGTTATTAGAAGCACATAATGTTGAACCTAATTCTTCTAAGGTAATAATTATAATGAAAATAATTTCGAAAAATTAATTCAAAAATTTTATCCAAATCTTATCGGATTAAAAAAATAATTATTGTTAGAATTAATTCTGATTATATATATCAATATATGTTAATATATTTTTTAAATTTATAAGGTTGAAAAAAAAGAAGAATCTAAGAATAATTCAAATATCGATGATAATGATTCTAAAAAATTTCCTGGAGAAGGAAGAAAATTATTTGATGATACAAAAGATGATAAGGAATCAGTATCAGATGTTGCATCCACTACAAGTCAAGATAGTAATCCTCCAAAAGTAACAGCAGATGAATGGACTATCATAGATACAAAGGATACTACTGAAGCTAACCATACTGCATCAACTTCATCTAATATGAATGAAATTAATGAAAAAGAGGTAAAATATTACAAAATATTTTAAATTATATAATATAATATAAAGTATAAAGAATAATTTATAAATAATTTTTTATATTAATTTTGTAAGAAATCCTCTTCAATGGCACCATCAGCTCCAAATGGAACCTCAATTTATCCTGAATTACCAAAAGAAAAAATAATACATCATCAAAATCCAATAATTAATGAAGCCGTTGAAAATATGATAAGAATGGGATTTTCAAATCAAGGTGGATTATTAACTTATTTATTAGATGCTGAAAATGGTGATATTAACAAGGTTTTAGAAATATTGCAACCTACAAATAAACGTTAAGTTAATTTTAAAATTTAATGAAATTTTTCATTATAATAATAACAATATATAGCTCATATATAGCTGAATTTTCTTTTTTCAAAAGGCAAAGTTAGAAATATATAAACAATGTAGCATTATATTATATATATATTAATGTGAAATATTTTACATTCCGTTTCATTTAATGTAATATTCGTATAAATAAAATAGCATGCAAAATTTTAAACTAATGTAAATTTTTATTATAATAATAAAAAACTTAGAATTACTATAACTAGAATAATAAGTTGAAATAATAAATAAAGAAAAGCAACATGGAATACTTAATTTCTTAAAAATCCATAATTCTTTATAATCCATATTCTTTCTATATAATATATAGAAATATATTATAGTTATAGAAATTTTCTGAATTATATTATTTTAAAGAGATATTTTAAATCCAAAAATTTAATATATTTTTTATAATATTTTTTACATCAAAGTAAAATACATTATAGTATTCCATTGAATATATATTATATATGTTATATATATCATTTGTGTTGTTATATAGAAAAGAACAATTATGATGAAATATGATAAATAAATGAAAGGACAGAGATGGAATAAAAATTAGAAAATCAGTATTATCTTTAGAATGCTATAGATGAAACAAAATTAACAAGAAAAACAAATAGAATAAAGATTAAAGAAAACTTATAAAAAATATTTATAGAAAAATATCTTATATTTAATAAATGATTCTTAATTTTTATTCTATTATTATATAGAGATTTCATCCACTTTAGAGAACCAAATTACAGAAAAAATTTAACATACCGATTTAGAATTTCAATACTGATTTCAGAGTTTTCTATTCATGAATGATGGTCACACAAAAAAATAATTATTAATAAAAGTTAAATAAATCAACATAAATAATGTAATGTTCGGCAAATTTCACAATCACTATTCGAGAAATACAAAAAAATGATTTTTTATCTTAATACGCAAGTCGTATTGAGAATGAAATTATAGTAATATGTTGCAAATTTATGAATAACAAGCAAATTGATTATTGAATGGAATACTTAAAATCTTTTTACTTTAAAATTTATTTTATTTTTCCACTTAATCTCATATACACATCTATATATTATTAATAGCATGATATATATATATATATATTTATCGAAAAATATATTAAAGAAATTATTTTTAAAATTTATTATCAATTTTTATAATTAAATTGAATATAATTCCTAAATACACTATCACAAATGAGATAATTGTATAGTTTCATGTATCATAGAATAAGAATTAAGAATCAGTGTCATCTTTTGAATATAAAAATAGTACTTTTATAAATATTTAAAAGATGGCGTTGATGACCAATTCTTATCTTATTTCTATTTTTATTCTACCATTTATTCTCTTTATTTAATTTTATATTTCATATACGACATTCTAACGATTATGCTGATTTTCTAATTTTTAGTTTATTTATATTTTTCTCTTAATATTTAACCTTCTCCTGTTTATAAATTTTATTTTGCAATTTTGATTAGAAATTTTACAGAATCTAATCGATCCAATTTTGATATGGTTTAAGTATTATGTAGATCGTATACATGCTATTTTTAAATTTATATATCTATACGCCTATATATATATTTATTTTTATATTTATGTTATAAATTCTATTTTTATTTTATTTTATTCTATATTATTTTTAAATAATATAATTTACATTACTATATGTTATCAGAAATGTATTATAAATATATTTTATATTTAGATCTAAATTGATTTTCAAATTCAATTATATAGCTAATAAAAATTCTAAGATACAATTGATACATTAATTTATTAGAAATAATATTTTGTTCATTTCTATTTAATATCTTACTCTTTTATTATTTATTCTAATAATAATAAAAAACAAATAAAAACAAGAAAAAGATTGAATATGAAAAATTTTGATCACATTTCGAATTATAAGTTTAATTATATCAATTATATTTTTTAATATTATAATATTATTTCTTTTTCTTATTTTTATTGTAAATTTTGATCGCAAACTCTATTGAAAAAAATTTCATGTTTTGAAATTTCTCATTTTTATTAATTACTCTTTAATTTTATTAATATATTTTACATTATATATGTATGTATATATATATATACACATATATTTATTATTAAGATTCTTAATTATCAAGTTTTTATTTTCATTTTTAATCTTTAATAATCTTTTATAAAATGTAATATAAAATTTTTTATTATCTTTATTTTTTTTTAATGAAGAAGGATAGGATAAAAAAACTTGTACATTTTTTTTTTTACATCGGATTTCACTTTATTATTTCTCTCAGCCAATAAAAGGAAGTGTATGGGCCTAAACAGCTAGGCGATACAGACTGTTATACAATTTGCGGAACAAAGATTATATTGAAGTTTTTTTTGGATCAGCAAGAATTTCTCGCACGAATATGTTATATCTTTTCTCTTGTATGTAATACTTTTCATTTCGACACGCTTTTTGTTAGGATTATATAGAGAAAGTTATTTTAATTGTATTTTAATTGTACGATGCCTATGAGGAAAATCTAACACTCATAAATATTGTTGCCGAATGACGTCAAATATATGTATGTGTGTAGATACATCGTGTGAATTGATATTATAATAATAATATTAATGATAATAATAGACCTAAAGTTAAGTTTTTTTCATATACTGTAACATAAGCAGCGGGAAAAAATATAGCGCTTTCGTTAAAAGCTATATAGTGAAAGATTACATTGACAAATCGGTTACAAACTCGGTTACTAAGTCACAAAAAGTAATACAAATATATTTATACATATTACTACTTAATAATATTTATATTATTAATATAATATTATAATATTAATAAAATATTTATATTATATTATTACATTATAATATAACAATTACATTATTAAAAATAGTAATGTGTATACAGATTAGCTCTTAAAGTATTCTCTCTCTTTCTCTCGTTCTTTTTTTTTTCGCTTTCTCTCTTCCCAACATACAAATAATCAAAGTCGTTTTATCCAGTATCAAAGAGACATGTTAATTAAATCTATTATAATCTATTATGGTCAAAAAAAGCAAAGCGCATGCGTGCGTGCACGCTTTTCTTCAGGCATAATCTCTCTGTTTGATGTGATAACGAAGATTCTTTTTCTTTTTATAAATCAGTGATCATCTTACGAATGCCTAACATATAATATTTCAGAAAAAACACGGAAATACGTTGAGAATTATTGAAGGTTCAAAGAGATTACATTGATTATCGTAAATATTTGGTCGATTACGCGTTACCTAATTGTTTATTAAAAATCGTTAAGCTTACTATTTAATATTATCACTATAATGCCGCATAATAATAAGTTTATTTATTTATATCTCGAAATGTTTCATCAACTTAAAACAGTTATAAAATTTTAATAACATACTATAAAATTAATTAATAACCCTGAAATATTATAATTATAAGTCTA